TATATATAGTTGTAAGCTTAATTACATGTTTTACCTATTAAAATTTAAAATATAATTGGGGTATTCTTGTGTCTTTCCAGATAATTCCTAAAAAAAAGTAAAATTCACATATCAAAGTATCAAACTCTAATTAGGTCAAGCCGTCGAGAGCTTCAATTCAATCTCTGTCCAAAAACGCCGTCTTCTTTCTTCTTCCTCACCTCAGTGCACGGCTGTCCCTAATTACCTATTCCTTAATCCCCATTCCTCACCTCAATCCCTAATTCCAATTTCAAATCAAACCCATTTGGGTTGCTAGCTCCAGCCGTTTCATTTTGTTGTTGCTACTCCACCCATTTGGATTGTGCAGTCGGTGCAGGCGTGCGGCGACCGGGAGCTTGGAATCCTTGGATCTTGAAGCAGGTGCAGTCGTGCTGCTCGTGCAGCAGGTAAGATGTTATCCTTAAGTAATTTGGCTGGTCCCAGCTTCGTCGCAACCTCGTCATTTTCATTTTATAAGGTTTGGCTTAAATTCTGTGATCTCTGGAGTATGATTCACTGAATAAATCTTAGCAAAATAGGCGCATAACTAGGGTTCATAATCTGTACGCTTCCGGCAAAAGATATTTACTGAATTAGAGTAGCAATGGTTTTCTTTTACTAAATTAGCAGTAGCAACACGCCCGGAAATGGTTTTCTGCTGCAAAACAGTAGCAATGAAGGCGATTACGACACAAATACTGGTAGTAGTTGGAAAAAAAAAGAAGAAAGAAAAAGAAAACCACCGACAGTTTTGCTTCCTGTTTGCGAAGGGAAGAGCTCGAGCTTTAAATGTTTTTGCGAGCTTTAAATTTAAATGTTTTTGTCAGCTTTGCTTTGTCTCTTCTATTGTCTAGTTAGATTTGCTTCTTTACTACTCCACCCTGGAGGCTCAGAGTTAGTAAAGACTCTGCATCCAGAATGGGAAACCTGGTAGAAGTCAACAGATGGTAACGAAGGGAAAAGTTTTGAATTTCCCATACTCCTATATAATCAACAATTGATATGATTCCTTTAAACCTCTGTTTAAACTTGTTCAAAGTTTTGGGAAGGTTGTCCTGTTCTTTTGTAGTTTATGTGAAAACGGTTGAGTGCGCGAGTGTGTTTGTGACTGGCAGTATTCTGAGATAAAAGTAGCAGCGAATTTAAGACTATTGCCATGACAGAGTGTAGGAAAAACTTTGTTCTCTTTTCCTGGGTATTGAGAATTAATGGAGGTCCAGTAAAATGGGATGGTATCCGTAATATTTTAACCCAATCACATGTTTTAGATTATTCAAACTTTTGCTAAAGTAAGAGTTCAGATTCCACAACCAATTTTTACTTCATACTTCCATCAGTTCTTTCTTTAATACATTTCTTGAAGAAATTTATTCGTTGTTAAAAGGCTTCTATTAACTGATATAAAAGGAAAAATCATTCAATTAGCTTTTAATCTCTGGTCATTGAAGTTAGTTTTAGTTCGTTCTAGTTTTTATTCTCAATCTTTATTAACTCTTGGAAGAAAAAGAAAAGCAACCAACTTAAAATTATCTATGACTGGTGCAATGCCTGCTATAGTTCTTCTTTAACCCTCTTGATTATTTTCAGGTTTGTTAAGTATAATTTTTTTTTATCTTCATTATTAAATTTCCTTGTATTATAGGAATTCGCTGTATTAGTTAAAAATGTTCAACTACTGGGATGAACTCGTTATGGAATTCGTTGTACTAGTTAGAATTAGCTCTTTTTTCTCATCCAAGTGCAGCTTTTGATTCGAAAATCAGCTAAAATTTCTTTTATTTTCAGCTCGGCCCATAACCGCACTTGAATCTTATTCCAATCGAGTCATGTCAGGGGCAGATTCCTCTAATGCAAGGAACAAGAGTAATTGACTCTTATAGAGCCTCACTAGCTCCTGAAACTGTAGAAATGCTTATGTGTGCCGGAGATTGGTGCCGAAACATTCATGGAGTGAAAAAAAAGATAAAAGTAAGTTTATTTCAAATTCATGTTATTGAAACAAAATTAGTTTATTACTTATTGTTATTGTTATTATTATTATTATTTTGCAGAAATTGAAGGCAGCAAAAGAGATTCTACTTCCCATAAAATGAATGTGATAATTGGAAAGGTACATTATTTGTGTTTAACACTTCGATTCCTCTTCAAATATCTTGTTTTAGATTTTACCACTACTATTTTATTACTTAAATTATTATTTTTTTATAGGGCTTGCAGTTGAAATTGGAAAGTTGGAAAGGATTATCGTGGAATGGACAAGAAGTTGCTGTTTTATTGCTTTAATTGCAAAATTTGTTTCACTTTTTTAAGTATGATTATTTCTTGACAATTGACATTGCCTGTTGAAGACATTCTCTTGAATGTTGAGTTGTTGACACTTTGTCTTTGTTGTTTCTATTTGTGTGACTTGGTGGATGTTGGTTGTCTGACTTATCTTTGAATTTGGATGCTGGTTTTGATGTTAAAATATGTATGGATGCATTTGGATATTGGTTGACAACTTGGCATTAGGCTGCTAAATTTTTGACAGTTTGATGCTTTGGCTTTAAATTGATATTTAAAGCTGGCTTGTCTTAGATTCTCAATCATATGGATGAGTTTGGACTTTGGACAGTGCTGTTCAGTGATTTGGTTCAGATAAAAGGCTGAATGAAGGACAAATTCTGCTTAAGGATATTGCAGACTGACTTATTTGTGTTCTGTGTCCAGGCATTAGATGTATGATTTTAGCCTTAACATGTAACAAATGTCAAGGCTAAAAAGGAATCAGATGAATATGATTTTGTCTTACTAACAAGATACCTCTGATGTCCCTCTTTGTGCTACTTGAAATATTGATTACTAGAGTAGATAGTTTGAACGACATATTTTAACAATAACAGCTTGTGCAGTTACTTGGTGTATAAAAAAGTCCTACTCCAAGATTCAGTCAAACACATTTTAAAATATCTGTATTAGTTATTAACGTTTTTGTGTTCTTTACCCCTTTCATTGTATTGCAAAATGTCGTTGATATAGAGTATCTTTGTGTAGATCATTTGGTTCAGCATTCAGCAGGCTTTAAACGAGCACAATTTTAATGGACCTTCGAGCTCGAGCTCGAGCTCGACCGCAATTCGAGCAATTTCGAACACGAGCTCGACCACAATTCGAGCAATTTCGAACACGAGCGACTGTTCGAACTCGAGCTCGAGCAATTTCGAACACGAGCTCGATCCTCACGAATTCCTTACGAATCGAATTCGAGCATGTAAAATTAATATTCGTCGATCTCGAGCCTCAAGCACTTTGTCGAACTCGAACTCGATCAAACTAATATTCGAGCTTGATTCGATTCGTTGACACCCCTACTTTAGACAACTTAATTTGACTCTGTTTTTTTTTTTTTTGTATATAAAAGCCTAGACTCTGTCATGGACCGGGTTCGAGCTCTTTGGACTCTGGAAGCGACTCTCTTAGCGACCCATTTGAAAGGAGAAAAGGATCAGATTTAATTGGATCCAACATGAAACATACCAGGCCTATTACGTACAAAAGTTGTACAGAACCCTATTGTCACAAATGGGAACAAGTTGAAAAAAATCTACTGTGCATGTATAGATACGTTACATAGAATTGATATTATCAACTGGCAATGAAAAAATTCATCAATGCTAATAGGGCTATATGCATAATTTGAGAAACGTTCATGAATGTATGTCTGTATACCATGCATTCATTGAAGGTGTAAATCTAACATTGTCTGATATAAATTATTAGAGGAAAATTGCAAGGAAAGAAATTTAGGTGGAGGGGATGCAGAATTTAATTTGTTAATGCAATCAGAATCGATGCCTTTGAAGAGGATTCAAAAAGAAAATATGGGACACGGCTATAGCTTCATTTTTCACACTTGACAGTATAATTGTGATATATTTTGACCAATTGCTAAAAGTCATACTTCTGTAATTCAAAAATTGCGTGCAAGAGAAACTGATAGTTATATCATTTGGTAAAGTATTTTAGTATCGTTATTTTGTTATGTTGTCTATTATATCCTTAATTATATTTTATAAGAAGGATCAATTAAGCCCTTCAGCCTCAAAGCGACATTTTAGGGGTTTGACTAGGCTGGAATGTTTCATCTCATACATAGAGGTGTCAAAATGGGTGATTTAGATAGGTTTGGGTGGATCATAATTAGATCATGGGTATAATTGAGTTAACCCATTTATATTCACTTATTTAAATGGATACTTAATAAATAGGTAGGGGTATACTTAATTATTCATTTATGACTCATTTGAAATTCTATTTATTTTTATTTTTTTGGATATTATTTGAGAAGAAATAATGGTATTTTATTGCTATTAGATTGGTAGCAAATTCAAATTTATCTCCTTTAAACTTAATAAAAATTGAGTTTAAATGTATAATTATTTTTAAATGAATATAAATAGGTGAGTAGAGTTAATCCACTGCCTACCAATTAAATAGATTTAATTGAATACCTATTTAAACCCATTTAAAGTTAATGAATGGGTTTGGACGAGTTTTTAGTGGGTAGATTTGGGCGAATCAATATAATTCAATTGTGATTGACACCTCTACTCACACACTAACACCGTGAGAATAGTTTTTTGAAAGTAATTCTAAGCCAAGAGATTACATTACTCGGACATGATTTAGTGCGAAATTCAAAAGTATTCTTGTAAATGTGGAAGAATGACTAGCACTTTATTCAAAGCTCATTTAAACTTGTCTATAACCATTCCAAATATGCCTATAACCACTCAGCCAAATTCAATTTTACATAAATCTGGTTGGTAACTTGCTTCTACGAGAAATATGTGATAAATGGAATTCTTTGGAGACTGCCTCCAAATTAAGTTTCTGCCCAGAAAGGAATATGCTTGCCGTGACTGCTGACCACCTAGAGCCAAAGCCAACGTTATCTAGAAATTGGTTTCGGGCAGCTTCCCATGCAACTTCGAGGAAGGCCTAGCCGTGATGCCACCATGAAACGGCCAAGAACCTTAACTGCAAAAACACCCCGATTCCAACGCAAGACCCCTTCTGATCTGTACCTTCGTTGGCATCTCCTTCGGCCTACAACTCCTTCCACCAAGAAATTTCGCTGTTTTATCGATCTGCCCATCTCTGATTATTTAAAGCCTTCCTACACCATCCCATGTTTTGCATCAAATTCTTGTGTAATTTGCATCTCCTACGTGCTTACATATTTGACAAAGAAATTAATGGCATTAAAAGGCAATCTTGCCGAGTTTGAAGATTTTTTCCCCGCAATGGTGGAGAAACTTGGCGCAGAAGGATTCTTGGATGAGCTATGCAATGGGTTTAGGTTGCTGATGGATGAAAAAAAAGGGTTGATCACATTGGAAAGCTTGAAGAAAAATTCAGCCTTGTTAGGTTTGCAAGACATGAAGGATGATGAATTGCTATCTATGATAGAAGAAGGGGATTCGGATGGTGATGGGAATCTGAATGAAATGGAGTTTTGTGTTCTCATGTTTAGATTGAGTCCCGAGCTAATGAAGACTTCAAGAATGTTTGTTGAAGAAGCTATATTGAATCAGTCATAGTCTCTAATTTAGTAAGTAATGGTATTTTAGATTAATAGATCAATCAAGGGCATCCATCCGATTGCTTGTATTTATTAATAATAATTTTCGAATTAATTTTGCTCCATCATAGGGGTAATTACTTGCTGTAGATTTTGTCTGATGAATTTGGCTCATCCATGTGTGAAATCATCAATCAAATTGAAGTAACCGCGCAACACTACTGAGTCATATTTTCCACAGATGGGCATTTCTGAAGCCTGGTTTTAAGTCTTATTAATGTTCAGCCAATGACAGAGTTTGGAGTTGCATCTTCAATGAGAACACGTGTGCCCAAACAAAAAAGGGCAAAAAGCAAAACGTAAAAGTTAAAAAAAGAAAGATCGTCCAATCTTATAATGCACTGGAAGGCATTCGAAGGCAGTTCTTTTAGCCGTACCAGAACAATGTGCCCAAAAATTGTTTGCTAGGCTACAAATATGCACACGTGAAATGTCTATTTGAAAGGGAAAATGAAGGCCTACGAAAGAAGAAAAAGGAGGTTTTTTTTTTTTTTTTCTTTTCGCTACTCTAGGGGTGGTCCAACTAAGTCGAAAGAATCAACGGAAATTGAACTACCATCGGATCATGCAGGTACACCACGCACTCATAAAAATTTAGAAAAAATTACATATATGGCATATTGGTGAAAAATAGGTAAGATTTGAATTCTTAACCTCCTACCCCACAATACTTGTGGTGGCCAACTCCTCTAGAGCAAGTTGATTAGTTGATTAAGAATAAGGAGATTAGACTTGACCATTGAAACACCGACCGACCAACCAACCAACATAATACTACTGTATTGCGTGACGCATATACGTGTAGCGTACGATGGAAGCTTGGCTTTGTTTTTTACTTTGTTATCCATTCATATAAGCTATCAGTTTTCTTGGGTGGAGGATTCATTTTTTTTCGCCCCCTTTCTTAGGTTGCTGTTTTCCCATTAATTAACACGGTTACTTGTGTGTGTGATTCCAACTCATCATCTTCTTATTTTAGGTGACTTGAGAGGTTTTACTATCGTCTATCCAATGTGATTCTAGTGAGGAGACCGAAAGGTTACATGGAAACTAATTTGTCACGAAGAGATTTATATGAATTCAAGTTTTTTTGGATTGTGATTTATTTGCAAAAAATTTATTTGTTTATTGATTAACACATTTTTTAATCATTTTTTATTTCATATATATCATTTCAAAAAAATATTATAATAAAAAAATACTTTTTTTAAAAAATAATTATCCCGAATAATCTACCACCCAAACACAATCAAAATACACGGTAAAAAAGGGGGTCGTTGATAGGATGTTAACAGTAGTTTAACATGCAAAGCCCTAAGAAGAGCGGTTAAGTCTATTGCAGTTCTATTCCGAAACTACGATTAGGTAAAGTTTAGTTAACGAAAGTGCTTACAACCGTTGAATCAAACCAGACCAGCATAGGTGCAGCAAACCGAACGACGAAAGCAGCCGGAGCTGGGAGTCATCAGGAATGAGAGAGTTTTCTGGATCGTGGGTTTCTGTGTTAACCTAAGACCTGCTACAAATGTTGCTGCGGAACTTGAGGCAATCAACTATGGGCTGAAGTTGGCGTGGAAATGAACTTTTAACGAGGTCATAGTGGAAACAGATTCATAAACAAGCATTGAGCTTATCCAGAGGAATCCAAGAGAGAGCCCTCACCAGTCACCACAACCTCATCTGGGTACGTAGCTAGAGAGGGGAGGGATATGCAGTGGGGTTATAGGCTGCATGATACGAACCCCACCATTTGACGACGAAACCGTATTAAACAAGCCCTAGAAATCAGCAAATCCGGGTTTCATCATCAATTGGCCGGGTTCGTTTATACGGGTTTTTGGATTATTGCAGTGGTATAAGCATCAGTGGAGGGAAGGAAATCAGTGCGCTAACGAAGTTGAGCCTCCAACACCAACCAGGAGAGATAATCTTTTCATCCTCTTGAGTCCGTTAGAAGCATACTTTTTACTGATGTAATAGGTGTGACTACCCTCAGATTACTTCCTGTCTTGGGACCCAATAATCTCCTTACTAACCCCACAAAAAAAAAAAAAAAAGACAACATAGGTGCCACTCATCCACATAACCACATATGTATTGCGGAAAAACTAAATTTTCTTGGAAGTAGAGAAATACCCTAAACAATTCCATAGTGGTTTATTAATTACACCCAAATCACAATAAAAATGTCAAAATGAAGTTTATAATTTTCATCAAGGTATTCCACGTGGAACAAACAATAGTAGCACCTCTTACTTCTAGACATGAATCTTTTGTACCTCTTACTTCTAAACAAGAATAGTTGTTTATGTGATTAATAAGTGAAATGCAATATGGAAAATGCAATAGAAGAACTTGCAAAGGAAAAAAAAGAATAAAAAAATGGATATTTCCTTTGAATAATAGAGTTAATTTGGAGTATTGGAGAAGAATCGATATTGAAAATAAACTACAAAGTCTTTTTTATATGGATGCGTTGATTGACTAATACTTCTAGTTTCCCTAATTTCCTATTCTAATAAGGTTATATCTCCTTATATCTTTGGTTTCCTGTTATTCTATTAGATTTCACAATTAGTTGCTTTCCATAATTAACTCTCAGCTAGTGCCAAAAAAAATTTTTAGTTTGCTGAACTTTGGTTAAAAGGATTAAATTGATTAAAAATGACACTTTAGAGACTAAAATAGCTAAATTATGGATTCAAGGACTAAACTGTCAATGTATTGTGTCGTGGTGTGTTATAATCACACTCATATTTAATGAGTCTAAAACTTGTATATAACACATTTGATTTTAGTGTCATGTATCTTGTCATAACCTATTTATTAAGGATTAATCTTTCCTACAATAACAGTATATATATTGTCAGCGTTGGATGAATGATGACTATGCAAAATTTGAATTTAAAATTCAACTTTTGCACACATGTCATAAATCCAACAGTGATAGCGCATACACTGTCAGTGTATATAAGATTTATTCATTTATTAACATATCATGTTGTTGTTTAATTTATTTGACACATTTCCAATAATTTAGCAACTTATTCGAGTATCATTTCCAGTAATTTGACACATTTCCTAAAACATGTTGTGTTGTCATTTTGCAGAGTTTCATTTCCAGTACTGTTAATTCCTTTTATTTTTCCATATGTTACGCTCATCTGCAAAAACTCTTCGAAATTAACTCCAAAGGATATAAACACGCCTTAATCACTCCTCCCTCTTCTCCTGCACCCCGCCTTTTGTTCCTCAACTTTTGGTCAATTTCTTTTGTTTTTCTTCTCCTCCGTTCTTTAACAAATTATGCATGGAACATCTAAAATTTAAAGTTTGTAAAAAAGAAAAAAAAAATCATCAATAGCTGGAATGTATATCACGTGAAAGATCGGGCTGATTAAAGTAAGCAATTAAACAAGCTAGGGAAGCTCAGGAACCGTATGCGTGTAATCAAAAGTAATCTGACGTGTGATTTAATGTGTATGTCTCACAATATATAGCCTTTGATTAGTATTGATACGTCTGATAACTAATACTTAATTATAATTCTAAGTTAGTTCTATTCCAGCTCAGTACCATAATACTACTATAATGTGCAGATCTTAAAAACTACCATTATATATATATATATATGTGTGTGTGTGTGTGGGGTGGGTTACTGTTCTCCTAAAAAATAAAAAAGACCTAATGTATGCTTTGTATACCATTTGAGGATAGTACCAAGAACCATCAAGGGCCACGAAATGTCAAACTATAATCTATCACATACCAATTTTATCTTTATTGTCGCAAAATTCTTGATCTAGTGGTCAAGGTTGAAACTCCAGAATTTAAAAGTTTTAAATTCAAATCCTTCTTTTTCCTTCCACTTCTTAAATCTCACCATTCCTTTATTATAAAAAAATTATTTATTATTTTAAAAGGCTATAATCTCTTTAAACTTTTAATAAAGTCAGATCTCGTGTTCTATCTATACTTCTAACCTCTTTATTGCGTGGAGTATAAAAGTCCGATGGATCTTTTCGAAGAGAACTGCAAGGTATGAAAATGTAGGTGATTGGGATATATAAGTTATAACAGAATCAATCTTTTCAAAGAGAATTCAGGAAGAAAAAATATATGAGACACAATTATAGTTTCATTTTTCACACTTGATAATATAATTTTGATATATTTTAAGCAATTGCCAAAAGTCATACTTCAGTTGTTCAAAAATTGTGTGTGTGCATGAGATATTGTTAGATTCATCATTTAGTAAAGTATTTCAATATAATTGTATTATCTATTATGTCCTTAATTATACCTTGGGAAAGAATTATTTAGTCCTCCAGCCTCAATTGAAAAGAAACCTTTGGGTTGTGACCCGCCCCGAATGTTTTGCCTCATATCACTAATACCGTGGGAATAGTTTTTTAAAGTAATTCTAAGTTAAGTGATCGCATTACTTAGACATGATTTAGTATGAAATTCATAAATATTCTTGTAAATGTGGAAGAACGACTTTCCCATTATTGACGCTAATTCATAGGAAAATGTTATTTGTGCTAGTATTTTTATTAATTACCCTCTCACTATCATTTTAATAATATAATTTTCATTTATTAAATCATATTATATAATAAAATAAATGGTGGGAGTGCAAATAATAAAAAGTGAAGTAAAAATAGCATTTGTCAATTCATATTTATTTACAATTACTATTTCAAATTTGTTTCTAACTATTCCTTCGGATTCAGTTTTATATGAATTGGGCAATAATTTGCTTCTACAAGAAATATCTGCCTCCAAAAGAAAGTGCTTGTCGTGATTGCTGACCCACTGGAGCCAAAGCCGTTGATATCTAGAAATCGTATTCGGGCAGCTTCCGATGCAACTTCGAGGAAGCCCTACCCCATGATGACACTATGTAGCGGTCAAGAACTTTAACTGCAATGTAAAACACCCCCGAAACCCCTGATCTGTACCTTCGTTGGCATCTCCTTCCCCTACAGGTGCACCTTCCACCAAGAAACTTCGCTCTTTTATCGATCTTCTGCCCGTCGCTCATTATTTAAAGCCCTCTTACACCATTACTTTTTTCCCATCAACTTTTTGTTTCAGCCTCTCCTACGTGCATATCAATATTTGGCACAGAAATTAATGGCATTAAAAGGCGATGTTATCGAGTTTGAAGATTTTTTCCCTGCAATGGTGGAGAAACTTGGCGCAGAAGGATTCTTGGATGAGCTGTGCAATGGGTTCAGGTTGCTGATGGATGAAGAAAAAGGGTTGATCACATTGGAGAGCTTGAAGAAAAATTCGGCTTTGTTAGGTTTGCAAGACTTGAAGGATGATGAATTGCAATGCATGTTAGAAGAAGGGGATTTGGATGGTGATGGGAGTCTGAATGAAATGGAGTTCTGTGTTCTTATGTTTAGATTGAGTCCTGAATTAATGAAGACTTCAAGAATGTTTGTTGAAGAAGCTATATTGAATCAGTTTTAGGCTCTAATTTAGTAAAAAAAAATGGAAATTTGGATTCATATATGAATCAAGGGCCTCCATTCGAATGCTTGCATTATTATTGCTTCTCCAATTAATTTTGCTCCATCATAGGAGTAATTACTTGCTGTTGCCTGATTAAATATTGCTCAGGTATTATGAAAATATTGATCAAATTGCAGTAGCTGTGCAACAATATTGAATTATACTTTTCACAAATGTGCATGTCTGAAGCCAGATTTTAGGTATAATTAATGTTCATCCAATGCCAACTTTTGGAGTGGCATCTCTAATGAGAGCCCTTGAGCCAAAAAAAAAAAAAAAAGCAAAAAAGAGAAAGATCGTCCAAGCACATATGGCTTTGCTAATTGAAGGGTTTCAACGATGCAAATTTGCACATGTGAAACCATTTTCTTTATTGGAAAGGAAAATCGAGACCTGTGAAAGGAGATAGGGAAATTAGTTAGAATTGACCATTAAGATCCCACCGTAATAATTTATTGCACCACGCATATACGTGTAGTGTAACAAGGAAGCTTGGCTTTGTTTCTTGACATCACTGTCCATAGTTTATTGCCAATCAGTTTTCTCGCGTGAAGGATTCACTTTTTCCTCCCTTTTTTTGGGTGGTTTTTCCCATCAATTAACACGGTTACTTGTGTCATTGCAACTCATAATCTTCTTTGTTTAAGAGACTTGAGAGGTTTTGCTATCGTCTACCCAATTTGATTCTAGCAAGAAGACCGAAAGGTTACGCGGAAATAATTGTCACTAAGAAATTAATAAGAAATACAGAAGCTCGGAAGTTTAAATCAAATATGAAGATATGCAGGATGGCCAATTTGCAAAGTTCTTGTAGATCTAATGCACGAAATGGTCAATTTGCACAAATACACGAAATAAAAAAAGAAAATGAGATTTAAAATCTTTTCAAGTACTAAGCACAAAGAAGCAAGACAACTTTCCGATGAGAATCAAGAAAGTTTTATATTAAGTTGTCCTTACTAAACCAAGCATATAACCGGACTTTGATAATGATGTGAACGCGTGGTGTGATTAATCTACGACATTTTTCTCCTCTTCTTTGTTTCATTTTCTTATAAGATCTAGATAGGGAGACTAATGACCGTTTAAAAAAATTAGGGTAGAAAGTCTATGGCAAGGGAAAATACTTGAGCAATGGCAGTTAATTGGAATATTAGTCAACAAATATTTTCCTAGATTTTCATAACGATTTGCTTTTTATGTATTTCTACTTTTCTTCCTTTGACACTTTTGTTTGTCACGATCACCAAGCTTTCTGGTGGTCAATAACCCAACCCTTCTGTGGCAGTACTGCTATAAAAAATTCAAACGGGCGGGTAAAGATGATATTTCCTTGGGGTTACCTCAAGTTTTAGGACCATGAAGAACTTACACGCTCAATCAAATAAAATGACAGCTATCATTTCAATTTCTATTGTTCATGGAAAAGGACTGAAAACAGTTTCCAATTCAATGCTTAGCACAAAGATTTCTAAACATACCTATCGCTACCCCTGCTTTAGATATCAAATAACCAAGCATGTGCGAGCAAATTGAAAGTTGTCGTTTTGCTTTCTTCTGCTTGGTCGTAGAAAGTTGCAGGACATATTTTTGAACAAAACATTTTTATTTTTTGATTGATTAGAGACTGTAATAGCAAAAAGAAAAAAAAAAGTACAGAGTTTTAAAGTCAAACCGGAGAGTTAATGGTAGCTAACTAATGTTTAAAGGAACCTTCCATGAACTATGACAAGTGTCGATCCTATGTAACAATAAATTTAAGAATTTGTCATGACACAAGATATAAATGAATATAAATGACAACTTGTCATGACAAGTGTCATGACACAAGATATAAATGAATATAACGGCAAGTAGCATTGTCTCCACAGGAATTAGGAGAAAAATTTGTCTCTCTCCAAGTAAAAACTAACTAGGAATTTTGGAAAATTAAAATAAAAATAAAATACTTAACGGATATAAAAATAATTAAACGGAAGCAAATTAAATTTAAATCAAGGATTACCAAACTCCAGAAGTGGTTCATACAACTACTCATTAATGCAATGATTATTTCATTTATTTGTTAATAAACAAGTTATAGTTGCCAAATAAGCGATGACAACCAACTTTTCCTTACCGTTAAAGTATGTCCGTTAACTACTTTCCTAACCAAGAAACAACTCTAAGTATGCCCATAAAATTTAATTTCTTGATTACATTAGAAACTAGAAATGCCTTGTTCCAATCAATAAACACACTATCAATGTTTATTTAAATTATATCATATGTTTTCCTAACATGAAACCAATCATGCTAGTCATCACTAACTTAAAATAATTAAACAATTACAGATTTAAATACCCTAACTGGCAATAGTTTGTTTAATTGAATTAAATATCAGGAGCTTTTTATATCCAAACAACTAACAACTATGAAAAATTAAATTAGAAAACATACGAATACTAACAAATAAAAAAATTAATAAAAACAATTAGATTTCACAGATATAATTGAACCAAGTCCTTTGTTGTTTTTCAGCTAGAAAAGAGAGATTTAGTTGAGCATCGTCAGGAAAAAGCCAAGCAATTCCATTGAGTTCATTCACATAAGTGTTTTTCCAAGAAAATAATCAAGAAAAGAGAGAAAAGACCAAGCAGCCGTTCTTGTTTAATGCAGAGTCAGGACCCTCTCAGTCTTGCCACTTACCGAAGTACTAATCAAACAGGAGTCCGGCCTTTTTCTTTTTTCTTTTTTTTTTTTCCATTTCCTACTTCGTATGTACTACTAATAATAAAGGCATATTGCGTCATTAGAAAAAGAAACTACAAAAGATAATCGTTCACGTTTCTTAATCCAATACTACAACTAATAAAGATAATAAAAGTCTTCCAAATCTTCAACCAAAAATTGTCTGTAGTTAACTCAAAATAATAAATCCTTGTGCGCGGTAAATTCTCAAGTCTACTGGACTTGAAAGCAGGTCCCAATCGTGTCACCATCAAATTAATTCTTAACATATTAAAAAATTGCCCCTTTTAATCACGTTTTGCTCATTTTCCTACAATTAGTACCATTAACTAAATATAAATAGAATCTATTAATTAACACAATATTTGGCTAAAATCAAGGGAACAATAATGATAAATTTAATAATAAAAATACATCCTATTAGACTATATTGGGTACAGACTGCAGTTTTTATGTCCTAATTCAATCAATATGGACATTAGTTTAAGTGATTATAAAATTCATAATTCGACTTTCAAGAAGAAAAGGGGGCTGACGTAGCATGTTAAATGCAGCAATGCTAGAATTTCCAAAGGGGTTCTTGTTGGGCCACAAAACGCGCATCTGGTCCGCAAAGCAAATCTAGAAGTTTCGGGCTCCTTTATTGTGACTATTTACTAACTTTGTTGGCTTACTAACTCTTTTTTTTTTTTTTTTTTTTTTTCAACACAGGAGTGTCCGGGTCAACACAGGGCTTACTAACTCCATTTGCAGTAAAATTGTCGTTCTATTCACTCAAAGAAGGTCTGAGCTACAAGACAGTAGCGTATATAATCCAATTTCGTCCCCTTCTGAGTTCTGCCTTTGTTGTTTAATTTGTTTTAAGGTCCATTTTTTCTTCCAAAGTTGTCTAAAGTCTAAACTTAGATTGCAAAGTTTTCTCGACTTCCCTCAGAGGATCTCACTTTCTGAAGTCAAATAATTGACATTGTCCATCCACTGCCTCATGTACATGGTTCTTCAAAAATCAGTAACTTGTTTTTGAGTGGAATGGTTTTATTTTTCGTCCATCTTTAAATCCAAAATATAAAGAAAAAGAAACAACAAGAAGAGAGATTAAAGGGAGTATGAGATATAGAGCCACTCACCTATTTTGCTTTTGTGCCTTATTCATCACGTACAATAAGTCCTAGCAAAGAATTGGAAACCCATGCCCTGTAATTAATTGTTAAACTGAAGTACGTTTGTCTGATTTCGATTGTGAAATAATTGATTACCGCACGTGTGTAAGAGTAATTTATCTGGGCAGTTAAGGTCCCAGTATGTTCTTCTAGGGCAGGAGAAAACTACGAACTACAAGGCAAAAGATGGCTAAGTAATGAAAGAATGTAAGATTTTTAATCAAAGATAGTTTCAGACACATCATATTACTATCTTAAGGGACATTAAGATTAAAGAATTGCAGTAGTAATTTAAAAGTTTCATTTATACTTCAAAAAGAAAAAGAAAAAGTTCATTTCTGCTCAATAAGGGTTGTATTAATTTGTTTCTTTAGCTAGCACAAGAGTCATGCTAGTTAGGTACATAGCTTAAGAATCGGTGAACATTTTCTTCGCACGTCAGATCTATGTTCAGTTTTCTTGGTAAATTACTTTTTACTCCATCGTGGTTTAATGCAGAACTCTCCTGCTATTTCAAGATTTATGTTTTAGCTGAGTAGAATGGTTAACTTTTATGTTAGAAGTAAGGGTCAACAGTTAAAAAAGTCGAGTGCACTTAAATTGGTCGCTTTGAAGAAATTTCTTTCGTATGATAATACATATTTTTCAACTGTCTTGTTATTCATACATACGTCAACCTAAGAAAAGTAAGTAATATAGCACTATTAATATATGTACGCGTCTGTGCATGCATAGATTTTGTTAGGATGCCTTCCTACAGAGAGCGTCACTTCACATGTTTGGGAGGTAATGGGACATGATCTTATTGGTGAAGACAGATAACAAGAAACTCTAGTTGTCGATAAGTTACCATTTTCTTGAAGACTGACGAGTGGTGACAGCATCCCTTGAACCTCCAGGTTGGTTAAGATTTAATTAACTTCACTGAAAATAAGCTCAAGAGACATTTCCAACAGCAACCTAAACTTTTCTTTCTCTTTCCCTCTTTTTGTTCTTCAATAAGCAACAGAAAATAATGTTTATCTGAACTCAGTTAATCAAGGCAAATGGTAGCATCTACAGAGAACCTAAGTTAATTTATTTAAACTCAGTAATTAAGATTTATTGTGTTTATCCCACACCGGTTGTGGAAGAAGCAGGGTAATTGGCTATAAGTGTGAGGGAAATCCTTATCCCTTGAACTAATTTTTGGGATGGGAAGACCCAATATCACCCAACACTGGTATTAGAATCGGATTATGACAACTTCTTCTTGTAGTAGTCAAACATAATAGAATGAACTCCTTGTAGTAGTCACACATACTAGAATGAAATGATGCCCATGGGATGAAATCCTGTGTGAGGGGGGAAATTATTGAATTGATCCCACATATCCTTCCAGTAGTCACACATATACAGGTGAAATATTGCCCGTCAGATGAAAAGGAAAGGGTTGAGGCTATTCCAACCTAGATCCCAATGTGTGAGAGGAAGCATCATGCGATAAAAAGGCAGCTTGGACTATCGCGGGATTAGCCGCATTTTAGATGTGAGCATTGGTTGTGGATGCGAGCCTGTGTGTTTCAAACTCGGACCGGACCGGCCGGTCCGACCGGTTAAACCGGGAACCGGCCAAGTGTCCGGTCCGAGTAGGTCATCAGAACCGGGAGATTTAAAACCCGGTCAACTCCGGTCAAAAATCGGGTTTGACCGGTACAGAACCGGAAAAACCGGTCCAACAGGAGATTTTGTAAAGAAAGTTCAAATTTTTTAAATATTATGTTTTGACCCCCTAAATTGTGCAAACTTATTAATATACCCCAAATATTTCATACTTTATAAATATTGTCCTAAAATTTGATGTTATTTTTCAATTAAATCCATAATTTTAATTCTAAACTTGTTAATGTTTATTAAATAATATAAATTGTTACTTGATTGTTCTAATTCTTTTGTATTTTCTTGTTAAATATATTTGAAATATCAAATATATAAAAATATACCTTTATTAATATCAATATGTTATTGGATATTTTATATACAATAATTTAATTTTTAAATAATTTTTATTTATGACGTCATCCGGTTCGACCCCTATCGATCCCCGGTCGAACCCATTGACCCCTGACCCCTGATCTCGGCCGAGTCGATATCCGGTCCGGTTCTGAAAACATAGGATGCGACTCTGCTTGAATAATCCTTATGCCGGACACTGTTGTCGCGAAACTTGAAGACGACAGAAAAAGACAAGTCGAGATTTATACCAAGTGAACCATCATTCCAATACAATCAGACATATATATATATATATATGTGGTCAAGATTTTCAATTTTCCATGAGAATAGCATGCCAACACTAATTTTTCATGAGAATGACATGCCAATAATGCATGTAGTTGAGGAATTCAAATAATCCGTATATTGGACACTGTTGTCATGAAATTTGAAGTCGACAGAAAAAGACAAGTCGAGATTTATACCAAGTGAACCATCATTCCAATACAATCAGACATATATATGTGGACAAAATCTTAAAAGATGGAAGATTTACATGTCGACGTTCCCGCGCAAGGCAATGTTTCAATTCACTCGGGTATGGTACAATTCAGTTCTGACGAAAGGTAGCTATTCCGAGGTGAAAGTGAAACTTAAGGGCCACAGAGAAAGACAAGTCAATATATTAGAGAAGTAAAGCATTATCCCCAAACAATAATCTGGTGCTTGTGGCCCATTTAAAATTTAGGTGCGATATTTATGAAATTAAGTTGTAGAATACCGAGTTAATTAAGTTTAATAAAATTTACAAAAAGTTGACTTGACGTTAATTCAATAATTGTATCTTTCAGCGCCTGCTTTGGCGTTCTTCAAATTTCCCCCTGTCATCGATCGACACAAGAAACCCACATTTGCCTAAAGAAATGAAATTTATAATCCAATTTGTAGCAATTAACATTCCAATCTATTAAATAAAATGTAGATTTTGTTTACATAAAAAAAAGGGTTTTACTTTTTCTTTTCCTTTGATGTACCAAAGGCTCGTTAGCAATTGAGTTTTCACTATACTTATGTCTGATTATGTAATCAAACACACACACACACACACATATATATATATATATTCATAAAATAATTCATATTTGGAACCAATTAATATGGTGATTCACTTGTTCGTAGGGTTAATTACTACAACCACCCTTGGCGTCTGATATAAGTTCAAAGATGTGCTCCTGCATATTAGTTTATCAATTTACAGAAATGATCCCCTCAACAATTAATTTTCTTTTTGAAACAATTTAGAATTGGTGCGTTGGGAGAGAAATAGCAGAGAGGGAAGGTAAACGCCGAACCATAGAACAAGAAAACAAATGCCCTTATTCATTGGGTGTTATCCAATGTTCTACTTCTCCTCAACCCCTCCAACTTTTTTTTTCCTTTTAAACATCCTTGCCCAAAACTATACCTCTCGCCACAGAATTCATTAGGCAATTCTTGAAATACCAAAATTGTTGGAGTTTGGCATAAAGATGTAGCACAGATAGACTTGTAAGTTACAGACGATCCCTTTATCTTTACCCGGCTGAGTAATCAAAACTCACCAATACGAGAAGAAGTTGGTTTTTTTGTTTGCCTACGCTGGAAACCCATGCACACTCCAACCATACGCAGATGATACTTTTGCTTATAAATACTACTATTTCATGACCAGATGAACCAATCCACTAGGCAAACAAAAAAAAAGATATGGCTCTCAAACAAGGCTTCGAGGTGAAGGTAACCTTGACAGAGGTAGTTGCTGCAGTGCTTCCGATGCAAGAACATTGGTTGCCGCTGTCCAACCTCGACTTGCTTTTGCCTCCTGTCGATGTCGGTGTCTTCTTCTGCTACAAGAACCCCTCTTCAGCTGCCACCACATTCGGGTCCATGACCAGCGCTCTTAAGAAAGCACTAGCCCAAACATTGGTTTCCTATTACGCTTTTGCGGGGGAAATGGTGCAAAATCCTTCAGGGGAGCCTGAGCTTCTATGCAATAATCGTGGGGTGGACTTTGTTGAAGCATTTGCTGATATTGAGCTTCGAGAGCTCGACTTGTACAATCCTGATGAGAGCGTCGAAGGTAAACTTGTGCCCCAAAAGGAGCAAGGCGTGCTCTCTGTTCAGGTTAGTAATTTTAACTAAAAAGTTATCATTTCCAAGTCCTAATGACCATAAAAGAAATGCAGAATTTGTAAGATTTCTAACCAAGCACTTCTCGATTGATTCTAAATTCTGTTTAATTTGCTCCATTTAAGTTTGTCACTTTTCACTTTTCCACCGAAAGATTTATGTTTTTGTATTGCAACATAAATTTTATCGGAATTGCACTTATGAAAAGTAACATGATTCGACATCGTGGCCGGCAAATTACCCTGCAAAAACTCATGCATGCTCATATTCGGGAATTTAACTCCTTGCAAGTTCGGGCCATTTCAACCACAAATCATCGCAGATTTCTACCCTCCCTTTTGGTACCGTAAAGATGAGATTAAATTCACCTTTGGATATAAAACAGAAGTTATCAATTTTTAGATTATTTCAAGAGTTTAAATAACTAAATGATATTGTAAGATATAAGTCAATTAGAATCATAGATATAGTACCCAAAAAGGGAACGTAGCATTTTCTTAAATCATAAATTAGGTGAACGGGTTACTTGCTTCTCTGGTGATAATTGTTTTATTAGTGAAATGCTGGCAATAATGAGAGGTATTTTATCTACTGAAATAAAAAAAAAAAAAAACAGAAAAGTATTGAAAAACTACTTACAAGTTGTAATCATCAAATTTCGAAAAGAAAATATTGCATTCGTGTCTATTCTGATATGTTAGATTTTTATAAACTATTTTGATCCGGTTTGAGACGTTGCATGGCAATTTGTAAAATATGTTGAAGTTGAAACCATCTAAGGATGTTAATTAATCATCAATCGCTGTAGTGTTCATCTAACATTGTAGGAGGCCTGATTTAATAAGATATCTAAGGAACCAAAGTTTGATTTACAATTGAAAATTTCAGTTGGACTAATTCTGAAAGAACATAATACTTTAATTGATGAATAAAAAAAAAATACCAACTTCTTCTCTTTTTTTTCCCTTTGTTCTTTCGAGATATGTTTAGCTGCTGTTTAAATTAACTAATATCAGTGGATGAAGTTTTGATTTAGTGGCCAAAATTGAAATATTAGAAATTAGGGGTTTTGAATTTAAATCCCTATTCTCCTCCATATTTCTTTTTAAATCCTTATTCTCCTCCATATTTCTTAAATCCTACCTCTACCCGCTTAAAAAAAAAAAGTCATTAACCAATATCTAACCCGCAGGCAACTCAACTCAAGTGCGGAGGACTGGTGATAGGATGCACGTTTGACCATCGGGTTGCCGATGCCTACTCGGCCAACATGTTTTTGGTGTCATGGGCGGAAATGGCTCAGTCCAAGCCGGTAACTACGCTTCCTTCACACCGGCGGTCACTGCTCTCTTCTCGCCGGCCAGGGCACTTCGACATTTCAATTAACGACATGTACATGAAAATATCACAAATGCCACCTCCAGACAAAGAATTAAATGACCACATTAATAATAATCAGGCACCAATAAGTCGCATCTATTATGTCAAGGCCGAACAGGTCCACCAACTGCAATCGCTAGCCAATGACGATAAACGGGGTAGTAAAAAATTTGTAAGGACTAAGCTTGAGGCCTTCACTGCCTTCCTCTGGAAATTAATTGCCAAAGGGACAGATGCAGGGGACAAATATTGCAGGCTAGGAATCGTGGTCGACGGAAGGACTAGATTGAATGATGGAGACGAATCGATGATGAATAAATATTTTGGAAATGTTTTATCTATCCCATTTGGCGAAAAGAGAAACAAGGAGCTGAAAGAGATGAATTTAAGTATGATAGCCGATGAAGTCCACAATTTTCTTGACGGGGCAGTGACAAGAGAACATTTTCTGGGGCTGATTGATTACGTGGAGGCTCATCGTCCTGAACCGGCATTTTCCAGAATTTATGGTTCTAAAGTAACCAGAGAAGAACCGGCATTTGTGGTGTCATCAGGGCAGCAGTTTCCTATAAGAAAGATAGACTTCGGGTGGGGTGTGCCAGTATTTGGTTCGTACCACTTTCCATGGGGAGCACAATCGGGCTTTGTAATGCCAATGCCCTGTGCATCTGGAAATGGAGATTGGATTGTTTACATGCACCTTCGTCAAGAGCAGATAGAAGTGATAGAGCTTAATGCACCACATGTTTTTAGACCTTTCAGCCATGATTATCTCTGATCAGCTCCATCTGATTTTCCGCTGGATTAATTGGTTCGCTACAATTGATCAGACACAAGTTATGTATTAATTTGAGTTCTTTTAATGGATTTCTCTGTCTTTTTTTAACTTTTGCCGAAGTTAAAATTGTACTCCCCATAACTCCAGTTTTCTAGAATTATACGCTCGTGCACATGGAAAAAAGATTCTGTATTACTCCATTAATCATTAGTTTGGAATCATTGACGCTTTCGATAACGTTTTTTTTTTTTTTTTTTGGCCCAAATGCAACATTTGATTACTGGTACACAAGGGAACCCCCTAGCTGCGTAGAAGAACCACTGCCACAGGACTGTACCACATGCTGCACAGAGTTTACAATAGCATTCATAACGTTCACAGTATTTGAGGACTGCAATTGAAACATTCCTAACTCTCCATAGATGATAAACAGTTACAGCAAAAACCAGCCTCTTGAACTAATAATCAAAAGAATCAGTTTGCCAATAAGAAGCAAGTCACCTGATCTCTTCCTCCCACCCCTAAACATTACACGCATCCTTTGAGCTTTCTGCCAAACTATTTGAGACAGATTACACTCAAAAAACAAGTGATCGAATGTTTCATCAGCTACTTGACGGAAAACTCATTTGACATTGGCCACATGCATTCCCCATTTTATCAGCCTGTCCATAGTACTCGACCTCCTTTTGCAAGCCAGTCACAAAACAAAAGCGAATCTAGTAACGTAGTTCTTTCCCCCCACACATTTCAATTATAATTTTGGTATTGCAATAATATGCATAATTTCCCTGTTAACTAGTGCAAGGAACGGGCTACTGTTGTTGCCCATTTAGTCCAATCAAATTCTAACGGAAACACTCAACTTGAATGGTTTTTGTTTTTTTCCCCTGATAAACAATGAGTCCTGCAATGACTCCAGAAGACAAGTTGCAATTCCTAATGAAGACGAATGGAGACTGTAATTAGCAACAGTACCTCATGTTCATTGTTCAATGAAATCAGTAAAAATGATGGATCAAATTTTGCATTTCAGCCCTTTCCTTGACATAACATGTACACCATGATTGTAGTTAAACTACATTTGTTAGGTATAAGGAGACCCACGTACTTTATGTTGTTTTGTAAAAATATATACATACAAAAATGAGGATCATTTTATTTACTTTAAAGTAATCTGCATTAATGTCAAGAACTACTGCATAATGGCCTGCATTACATGCACGAATGGAAAAAAAATCTCCTTCCAACTTGAGAAATTAATGAATACCAAAATTCATGAAGGATTTATTTGTTTTGGACCTCTTATTTGTCAGCTCCTGCTCAAGTATTTATTTGCTTTATATATATTCATAATATGAAAATGTCAAGTACAACATTTGTCCTCTCCAGCTTATCAGGAGGTCATTAAATTCCCCTTATCTAATGCATTTTTCATGTATGTGTGGACATAATTGGCGGGTGTTTTCAATAGAAACGGCTATCACCTTCATCTTAAAGATGATTTACCAATTAATTAATTTATGATATATATTGACAATTACACCTCAATCCTCAACACTTGGACAAAGGGCAGGTGCTAAGCACTGAATTGAGGTATTAAAATTGTGGGAGAAGCGGTTACTGTCTCACTGATGTGATAATTGGTCACCTTTCAACCAAAAAAAAAAAAATTGAAAAATTGGCTTGCCTGCAATCTGCAGATACATTTGAAATTAAAGGACAAACGTACACCTCAAAGGATTGTCAATAACTCTAGCTAAGTTGCAAATGTGTCATTTAGGACAGGGATGTTTCCTGAATTCCATTTTAATGTAGAGTGAGTAGACTGATGACCTTTTCCTTATTTATCATTCATTTGTTATGGCTACACCGTGCACGCAATTAGCATCTTTTCTAAAAGCGGTGAACTATTGAAAACTTTAACTTTGTCTGCTTCAGTTCCTCAAAGAAAATTAATTTTTTTTTTTAAAAAAGCATGCTATGTGTTGTAGCTGGAGATTGAAATTTAATTTAGAGCAAATACCAATTAATTGCCAGTCCTTTACATTGAAAGAAAATGAAATACGAAACGGCCAAACCCACAAAAGAAATAAGACGAACCAAATCGAAAACGACAATAAGACAGCCGATTATGATAGAAGAAGATGATGATCATAGTTCCATTCCATCTTTATCAATTAATTAAACTCTCTAGCCGGGAGGGCTGATGATGCGACAAGTGCAACGATATGCATCAATTCCACCCCGCGCTTAAACGTTTCGTAGTCGACTAAGAAACTGATCCTATGCAGTTCGTCGCTATCCCGCTCCCTAACCAATATTTGATTTTTTTTTTCTCTTTTTTAAAGAGAATTAACAGTGATTTCTCACCTATTTTCTTGATGACTCGAGCTCGTGACCTGTTGATTACCGGTGAAACATAAGCTACGCTTTGTTGTCAAATATTTGGTACCTGAACAAACAAAAAATAGCAATTGAACTTGTCCAATGTCCACCGAGCATGAATTCAATGTGATACCATAATAAAGGTAGACCTTATAAATTTCAACTTTCTATCTAAAACACTTCAATTATTCCCTCCATTGCATCTAAACTGTCAAAATGATTGCAGATCATTTCATTTTCTTTAATTTAAAAAAAACCAAGATTTTCATAATATAGACTTGGGACAAATTATTTTAGACATTATTGTTACAACTCGCATGAATAATCACAGTACAAATATTTTAATATTCCAGCAAAAAAGTTTAAAGAAAAAACAAGAAATTAAAAGCTCCAAAAGTTGTCCGTTTAGCTGAAGATAACAATAAATGAGGCAGAAGGTGTACATTCTTTTGTTGTTTATGGGAGAATTAGATTGTCATCTTGAGAAACGTAAATATTGATATGTTAAAAAAACTATAAATCTTATAAGTTAGTTACTTCTTAATTTGATATATACCAACACCTTGTCTTGGAAAGATTAACATATCCAGCAAGAAAACTGGAAAATATGGTTCATAAACAAGAGTTTAGTAACTTTGAAGTGAAGGTAAGCAAGATTGAGCTTGTGGCTGCAGTGGTTCCAAAGCAAGAAGCCAAGAACATTGGATACCACAATCCAATCTCGACTTTATCTTGTTTCCACTTGATGTAGGTGCCATCTTTTGTTACAAGAAGCCCTCCTTATCCGGCCCCCACACCACACATTCGGGTCTATGGTTAGCGTTCTCAGGAAGGCTTTTGCCCAAATACTGGTCTCCTACTATGCATTTGCAGGAGAGTTGTTGCAAAATGGAGCTGCTATGCAATAACGGGGGGGTGGATTTTGTCGAGGCATTTGCCAATATGGAGCTTCGAGACCTCAATTTGTACAGCCCAGATGAAAGCATAGAAGGCAAAATTGTCCCTAAAAAGAAGCTAGGTATACTCGCCGTTCAGGTAACTAACTAGTATATGAATGTAGAATTAAAAAAAAAATTAAAGATATATAATTAGCTATCATACAACTTACAATCACATAATAGACCGAAGAAACAGAAATGAAGAAAGAAAGATTTGAACTCATAACCTCTAACCAAGTCTCGCCTTATTTCTTCTTTTATTTTCTTGTGGATTTTAAACCATGCCCTCCAGTACTCCAAAAATGTTTGATATTAAACGACGGATCAATGCCTGGCCAAGATCCTACGCAATTGGTCGGACCAATAGCAGTACACATATTAACATTCATGTGTACGTTGACATATGATATGTGCATCTTAACCATGATGACATGGAAATTTACAGAAACAAAATGTACACTGTTCACATTATTTATGTGCACCCGTGACATTCCCTTAACCATTGGTTTCCTATAAATCAATAATTGGTCCTGCCTTAATCCAAAAATAGAGTATGTTAACCCCACTGTTTCCTTACTACCACTGGATCAGGACTCAGGAGCCTCTCAAGTTGGTTTCTGTCCAATTCAGTTCGGTTGACATAAATTTTTAGAACTTTTGTTATATGTAATTATTTTTTTTCACTTTAACTTGGTCGAATGAATTAATAAACTCATGTTTATACCAAAGTTATAGCAACTTTAAATGAAATGTTGTACGAATTTCATTTTTTTTTTATAAAAAGTAAATTTCATTTACGCATTGTTGAAAATAATCTAGCACGATTTGATTTGTATCACTACTTTAATTGCAGGTTAAACATGCAATAGAAATTACAAATCTGCAATTTAACAGATACAATAAATTTAAAACGAGTTATGAATAGATTTGAAAAATATAAGAAATTTCAAAATTATCTTCTACTAGATAAATCATTGCAACTCCCTTTTGTGTATGTTGCAATCACTAGATCTGCTAATTAACATTTTCGATTTTAAACTCTAATAATGATGATGAGATCTATCGAAATAGATCCAAGATTCAAAAAAAAATTCAAATCTAATAACCAAATCTAAAATAAATTCAAATCTAACAAGAAAATAAGGGAAATACCATAAAAATCTCCATAGGAATAATCCTTAGGAGAATAGAAAATTCTCACTAAAAATCTCTAGGAGAAATAGAAAACTCTCATTAACAAAATTTAGGAGTGACTTTGTTCAAAAAATAAAATAAAAAAATTCACGGGAAGGAAACTATAGTGTGGTCTCCCTCCTTAAGGGAAAACCTTTATAAAGAGAAGAAAAAATTATAGAGAAGTTAGAGAAAAGGAAAAGGTATATTGTACAAATTTCCTAATTAGACAGAATTGAACAATTATTCAACTTGAGAGGTTTCGATCCATTGCAACCTTGATCCATAAGACAAGAATTGGAAATATTTTATCCAACCAAAGGCTACAAAATTCAATTGCGGAGGCTTGATGATCGGCTGCATTTTTTACCACCGAGTTGCTGACGCCTACTCTGCCAACATGTTTTTTTGTGTCATGGGCAGAAATGGCTCAGTCCAAATCTTTATCCGTGCTACCCTCATTTCCGCGGTCAACGCTCTCCCCTCGCCGTCCTGGTGGCTTTGGTGGTCTAGTCAGTGCGACACGTACATTATCCCAAACTTGAAACTAACACCTCCGGAACAAGAAACC